AATATTATTAAAAAAAACAAATTTACCATGGGTTTGTGACAAGGAACCAATATCCCAGGCCATCAGTAAATAAATATTGATGTAATTCTTTCCTTGAGTTCCATAAAAAGACTAATATAGTTATTGGGAAATGCCTCGGCTTATAGTCTCGGTTTACAGGTAGGAGAAATGCTTAGAAACGCTTGATCAAATGAAAGGATCCAGTGGTGTCACAGGAGGGGTCAGGACCCACACATAACTGTAACAGCTCCTTTTATTTCTAAAAAGAATGATTTAAAACATAACCCTGAGAATTCCTGGTGTCACCACTGCCTGTACACCTTCCACTGATAAAGAGGCAACACCACTGGGGGCTCGGTAGGTCACAAAATTTCCTATTTGGAAGGGATTGCATGGCCAATTAACCTAATATGTAACAGAAAAAGGACTCCCTTTTCGACATATTCAACAATTCAGGAGGTTTTCTTTCCCCAATATCAACCCAAAACTTGCATCTTTAAAAAGTTATTCATTGTTCCCAGTTCTTCCCTGTGGAGCCAAACATAACAAGCCTATTCTGCCCTCCACATGTAGGCCTTTCCAATACTTGAATGCAGCTCTCACGTCCCGCTTGAGTCTTCCCTTCTCTTTGCTAACTATGCCCCTTCCATCAAGTGATCCACATTGGACACGAGCTCAAGGTCATGTACCTCCCACCTTGGTTGAGCTGCTTTTGAAGCTCACGAATCCATCCCAGGAGTTCACTGAGGCCCCCACAAACAACTCAGTGCTTGGTGGTCAAGCCTGTGCTCACTTAGCTAGGCTGGTCAATAGATAATGGACAGCAAAATTCCTAACTGGGCCCATACTTCCAGTCTGGAAGATCCTGCCAGATCTCAGGCTCCACAGATAAAGACTTTAAATGCAGGACTACCTCAATCCCTCCCAGACTCAGGGATCAGAGCTTTGGTGGAGGAATTTAATAATCAAATAGCTCAAAACAAAATAAAACAAGAAAACCAACGATGAGCAATGTAAGTCAGGTCTCTTTATGAAACAGAAATAAAATATTACAGAGGACTTCAAAAATCTTCTGCCTCACTGCCTGAGGCACTGCACCTAAAGGGTAAGGGCTTTATGCCAATTTAAAAATTCTAGGCAGAACAATGCTATTACATATTCAGGAAATGACTCGACTTAATAACCCAGAAGCTTATTTTCCTCAAACATAAAGCCCACACTTTCCTGAAGTAGTAATAACAAGTCACTTATGTAGAGAAAACACTTTATAGGGTTACAAAGTACTTAGAAAGTCCTGGAACTTTGCTCTATATAAAAATCATTAGTAAATATTATAAACATTATTGATTCAAGACAGCCAGCCTTTAAAACATGTGCGATACTGATTAACCTTTGTCGAATGAAGAGTTTAGGACAGGGCTTCCCAACCTGGGACACAAGAAGCTTGTCAAGGAGGCCTGGGGATAAACAATTTTATTATCTAATTAAAATTTTCTAAAAGTCATGATACTTATGAAAAAAATGTGTGTATTGGAGAGCTACCAACTTCATGATATTAAAACATAAACCAAATAAAGTTTTGTTTATGAAAAAATAAATCTTTTTTTATGTACAGATAAATGACAAGCACTAGAATTTATTTCCTTTCACATTGAATAAAGGGTATTGAAAGGTTTACTGAAAACCAAAGGGTTGGAGAATGAAAAATCTGGGAACCCCTTAATCCATATGGTCCCTAGCTCTAAGAACTCATATTTGTTGTCAAATTTCAAGCCTATAGATTAAAATAAGGAAACATTTCCATAAATAGAAAGATTGTTACAACATTCTTCTCTTATGTAGAGCTGACTGTCTTGAATCAAGTCTGTTTGTAACATTTATTGATGACTTATAAACTGAGAAAAACCTTTGGTTTTCCTGGTCCAATCTTTCCCTGCCCAGTACTGTATTCCATCTATACCCTAGTCATGCCCCTGACTCTTGCCTGGGGATCCCCTCTCTGAAACCTCACATATCCAGAAACTTCTATATTTGGAGTCTTCAAACCTAGGAATTTCCAGTCTCTCAGCCAATTGGTATCTCCCTGCCTATGAGCATTAGGTGGAAAACCAATTGGATCTCTGAGCAGGGGTCCTCCCATACTTATAAAAAAGATTGGCCAATCCCAGATCTGCTGTGATTCCAGAGTTTCTCTTGGATATCCTAAGATAAGTAAGCAGCCTTGCTCCTAGAATTTTCTGAGTTGCCCTGAATCCTGGATCCAGAAGCCCTACTAAGAGCATCTGATCCTGGCAGCTGCCTCTTGCAGCTGTTGTCAACTTTCCTTTTCCTGCTACTGCCTGAAGACTATGACATCTCTGGTCATGTCCTCACTGCCACTTTCTAGCCCTGCTGTGGAGGTCTTACTCCCAGCCTCAGCTTTAGAGGGTTGATGGGATGCCCTAGTTTGGAGATATCAATCCTGGCCCTAGTGTTCACAGCGAGGAGTCAAGGGGCTTCCCCAGCACCCTTCCTAGTGGTTCCTGCCTCTGGCTTCCTTGAGTATATCCAGTTAAACCCCAAGTCTTTCTCTTTTGGGCCTTCTTTTAAGGATCTATAGCTTTCAGTCCTACCTGGTTCATACTAATGATAACTAATGCAAAACATTTAAAATGTTATCTTAATTACTCATCTGATTCTTTTGTAAAGTCATTTTGTTTCCAGCAACAGACCCTGACTCTTCTTCAATGACCTCCAACTTCAACCGCACAGAAGATCTTGACTCCTTTTGCAGAATTCTACCTATATGGGCAAACTGTCAAATAGGATTGGAGTGATTCAGAAGAGGCTATGCAGTCACCCCTTCCTTAGTAGTACCTCCTTAGTTCCGGTTGTCACAGTTCCATTGATTGATTTATCTATACATCTAGCTCCATAAAGGTAAAGGCAAAACACAACTAACTCCTTGTCAGGAAGAGGAAAAATAATCAACCTGCAGGACACTGTTGGCAACAGCAGTTTTGGCAGGAGCCAATAAAAGACTAGGCCAGGGCAGTGGGGACAAGAACTAGGATGAGTCGCTGCTTGGCACAAAGCTTGATAAGCATATTTTTTAAATCCAAGAGATAGTTCCAAGACAAGACTAGATGCATTTGGGGGCTAGGTGGGTGGTTTTGGCATGGGAATAACTAAGAACATTGTGGAAGTTGTAAAGAGGCAAATTTCCCAACAATTAGGGTTGTCCCAAAGAGGCATGGGCTGCCATGGAAGGTGGTACATTTCCCTTCATTGGAGGTCTTCAAGCAAAGGTTGGTTACATTCCTCCTTTTTGGGGATATGATGGAAAGGCATGAATTAGTCCAGCTGGCTTCCCCCAGGTATGACATTTTGTGCTTCTGATTAGAGCAGGTCTTAGACATAAGATCTTCAAGGTAGTGAAAGTAAGCTGGTATGGGAGGAGGGCAGAGGAAAGAGAAGGAATCCCAAGTTTCACATTAACTGTTCGATGCTGTTAAATTCAGCCTTTCCGGCATCCCACTACAGCTTGCTTATGCTTCGACTGTCATTTTGACACAAACCTTTGACACTGAATCACTATCTGGAAGGCTTTCTATGGAGAAAGAAAAAAAATATGAGTTCCATCTTTTGTGGTTAATAATGGTTGTTAATGGCTTATCCAGATGTCATGGCTGGGTAACTCTAGACAGGCAGCCTATCCATTGGTTCCACTGACTGAATCCTCCAATAAAAGGATAGGAGATTCTATCCACATGCAAAGCCTTTGGATATCCAGCTGCTAAGGACACTGGATGTGTCATAATCATTTTCCTATATGGTAACAGAGATTGATCTACACTGTACTAAAAACAGGAAAGTTATGGGCAGAAAAAGATTCATGCAGACCTTTGATTTTCTTCCCAACTCCACCTTTAAAAGATGGAAGCTAATTTACCAAACTTGCTTTTCTTTGAGCTTTCATGAGAAGTAGTGTGGTAGAGTAGAGAGAAAGCCAACCTTGAGACTAAGAAGAAGCCTGGGCTCAAAGTGGATGTCTGACCCATACTAGCTCTACAGCCCTGGGTAAGACGTAACCTCTCATGGCTCTAGGGAAGCTTCTAAGAATTTAATTTGCAGAGAAGGTGCTGACTTGATTGAGGGTGGGACTATTTTGAATCAATTCTGTTTGTAATATGTATTGATGACTTAGAGTCTGAGAAAAACCTTTGGTTTTCCTGGTCCAATCTTTCCCTGCCCAGTACTGTATTCCATCTATATCCTAGTCATGATCCTGACTGTTGCCTGATGACCCCCTCTCTGAAACCTCACATACAAAGACAGTCTTTATACCACTGAAATCCCTCTCCTGTCCCTGTCCTTTTTTATGGCAAACATACAGTCTCTTTTAAATTCAAGGTATGGTGACTGTGTGGTGGTAAAGTCATGTCACTAGGGCAGAAGATGAAGAAATAATTGTCCAATATGGCTTCGGACAGTTGTTAGACCAATTAATCTCAAGTCCCTTCCAACTCTAGGAGTGTCACTCTGTCTGTCTGTCACACACACACACACACACACACACACACACACACACACACCCTTCAAAGCAATCATCATCTTTCTTGAGGAGTGGAGAATTAGTTCTCTAAGACTCCTACAAGCCTCTGCAGAAACTTAAGCTCATTCTGTACTGGAAAAGGCATACCTTGACTGAGATGGTCTGCCTCTGTTTACATTGTGGAATGGGGTATCCAGGTCCCTAAGAATCTACATGCATTTGGATTGAATTGAGACATAAGAAAGCCATCCAAAACCAAGCTTGTTTTCTCTAGACTCTAATTGAACAAGCGAACTAAAACCAAGATGTTTCCATAGTAAATGGGTGGGTAGACAACATAATCTATACAATAAAAGGATTTCAGCTGGATCTGATATGTGATTGCTCTTCTCATCACATCATTAAGTCATCCCCTAGAATATTATAAAGCCATCTTATCAGATGCCCAACCAAACAGGATACCTACCATCAAAGCTGCCTTGTTCAGAAGCCACATGCAAGAGCTGATTGTATGTTTCAATGGAAGGTCGGTAAACAAAGACTCCAGAATTGAAACAGTCAGGCCACCCTGGGTCTGGTGCTGCTGATAGCTCCTCTCTCTCAAAAAGCTCATCAATATTTGTCAGTACCTGGTTCAAAAGGAAAACAGGGAATTTGTAGAAAGTTTCCCTGTCCCATATATCACCTGCAATCCTCCCACATCAAGTGCCCACGGCATCAAGGTGGCACTTGTCAGAAGTCCCAGGGACAGATTTAAGGTGGCCTGGTTATGCTCTTCTGCCTTCTGTCTATTTTGACATTTGATGTTTTAATCACCCTTTCCTGTCATTGTTAGCTGCATTCCTCTGAACACTTACCAGGTCTCAGTTACTATGTATAGTCTTTTTAGCCACCATAGGCATCTGGACTCACCAGCGTATCTGCATCCATGAACACACATTTGGAATACTGAATTAGGGACCAGCAGTGGAGTTTGGTTAATGTGACCCCCAATTCAGGTCTCTTCATTAAGGCTAGATGAGCTGAATCCCTGCTGTCCAAGATGTCAACCATGATGACTTCGTCAAAAATCTTCTCTAAAACTTTCCTGTAAAAATAAAGTCCAGTTGGGTGGGTTAATTTTGCCAAACTGCTTTTCCCTCCTCTTTTTCTTCCTTTTGTTATAAGGAATGGCTTGTCAGGAAGGAGATAGGAAAGGGACATGTTCAAAATAAAATTAATATAAAAATAAAAGGTTAAAATTTTTAAATCATTTTAAAATTAAAAATAAAGTAAAAATTTCAACAAAAATAAATAAAATTCAGTTCACAGAGCTCAACACTCTTTAGAAAAGCAGAAAATCAGAACTAGTAGCCCCACTGTGACACAAGATTACTACTTTCCTTCCTTATGTTATGCCTTTTTTTAATCAATTGCTTATTCTGATAAACTTTCTATACCTTTTCTATCAATTGATTACTCTGATCAGTTTCCCTCCATTATGCCACCTATTCTGTCATGCTATAGGACAAACTGTGCCTTTCAACCACATTGTATCTGTTGTTTCTTTCAAATCAGCATTTTATGAAAATGTATAACGGAAGTGTGACCACTGTCTTTCCTTACACCCCTCCGACATCCAGCTTTATGATGGCGGCAATATAACATGGTGTTACTCTTTCTTATTTCTGGTATACTAGTTACCATGCTAATGTGCAAACCAAAGAAATCACCTGCAAGTATGATTATTAACCAGTTGCAAACACATTCCCCTGTAATAAAGTGCTCTTTTTGGGAGTTTTTCATTCTTATACAGAGTATTACTAAACATTTGGTTTTTGTTCTTCTAAAGGACATTACACGACCTTAGAAGACAGTATTTGCTAATTTGTCATCAGAGATAAAGAAGCAAAAACTCCTGATATATAGTATTCCACCTCTAGGAAGCGTTAGCTCTTTTCACAGCTCAGCTCATCGTCTCCTCCCTCCCACCTCCTCACACCCCACCTCCTCACACCCCACCTCCCAGCTGTTCATGTTCTTCCGAAGATTACTCATGGGTGTGCAGGATAGCCAGAGTTCCTCTGACACATACTGGCTGGGTGACCCTGGACAAATCCCATGACTTCTCAAAGAGTATGTTACGAAGAAGTTTCTAGCCTGCTTTGCTAAAGGGAGCTCCCTATACCCATGAAATCATGTCTAGTCCTTAACCCTACATTTTGTATTTACTTATTTGTGCCCATGTTCTATTTTCCTAGTAGAATGGGAGCTCTTTGAGGGTAGGAACTGTCCATCATTGTCTCTGAATCTATCCCCAGCACGGAATTCATAGTACACACTTAGTAAGTAAATTCTTGACCAACCTACTAAATCACAGTGGGGATACTTAGACCAGGACTTTCCCATTGCTGAAATCAGAGATCCTTCTACCATTCACTTACTCTCTAGGAGATGAGTTATATAGAATTACATTTCCCCCCTAAAATAGTTAGAAGTCATGAACATTAGACATATGAGACTGTGTACCACAAAAAAATCTCAGAGGTCAGCAAAGCCAAGCTATCGGTCTAATTTTCTGGTGCTGTCGGTTTCAGAATTATGCAGCTTACTTTAACAAGCATTGTCCATGTCTCTGCCTACACTACACGAGGCACTGTAAGGATTACTCCGTTTAGTCAATGGATAGCAAGTCTGGGATATGGTCATATCTCACTATGACAGAAACTTGACCAATGGAAATTTAACAAAGTTCTCGAGAGGGACAAGTGACCATAAGTCCCACTAACAGAAAATCAGGATGGGCCCAGGGTTCCTGTCCCACCTCCCACATCTACACACTGTGTAACGTTGGGCAAGTCTTTTGATTTCTCAGTACCCCAGGCAGCAAGCTACCTAACTAAGTTACAGATGGACTACTGATCTGCAGTGGTAGAATGAGTTTCCATACCAGACATTCCTCACAATGATAAAAAACAAACTAACAACAACAAAAAAAACCCCACAGGTCAGGACCAATCACAAAAATTAAACCAAAAAAAAAAATCCCAATATCTAGAATATTCAAAGAATTAAGTCTATAGAATTGAGCTAGAAGAGAAGCCTTGGAGGAGACATGCTATCTATTTTCAAATATTGGAAGCCTCACCACAGCAGGGATTAGACCTGTTCTGGTTAGCCCCAGAGGACAGAACTGGCAGTGAGCAAGTGAGAGCTGCAAAGAGACAAACTAAGGCTTGTTTTTCCATCTCTCTTTTTTCTTTTTCAAAGGCATAAGAAGGGAGGAAAAGAAAAGAGATTTGGTAATTAAATAAGTAAAATAATTTTTTAAAATTTAGGCTTTGTGTCTGCATAATTCTAAGAACTACAGTTCCGCATAAGTAAAATGGGCTGGCTCAGGACATCCTCATATCACAGATTTAGAGCTGGTACTGAGTCCAACCTTTTCATCTGACAGATGAGGAAACTGAGGCCCAGATTAGTTAGGTGACTTGTCCAAGGTTAGACAGGGAGTAAGTGACAGAGAGGCAGAATCTGAACCCAGATCCCCTCAACTGCCCCTTGCTGAAATGTTAGGGCTCTTTCCACTAGACCTCATTGCCAGGTGGCAGGGATTACCTTCCTTCGAGTAAAGGCTGAACAACCATTTATCAGGTATTTTGTAATGGGCCACTGAAGCTCCTTTCAACTCTAAAGTTCTGGATGTCTTTGCTGGAAAGGATTTTAGAAATCATCTGAGAGAGGCTGACCACTAGGTCACTTCAGAGAGGAGGAAAGAGAGACTCAGAGGGCAAATGACTTGCTCAAGATGATACAGCCAGTTAGAGGTTAAGTTGGTACTAGAACTGAGGCTTCTGAGCTGCTGTTCCAAGGCTCTTTCCAATCCATCCCCTTACCTTAACTCTACTGCAGTAAACATCAAAACGATTCCTAAAGTTGGGAGAAAGAAGCATTTTCCGGTTCACCCAATAATTAGCAAAAGACAAGCCAACAAACGGGACCCCTCTGCCCCAGCCTCGCTCAGCCCCGCTAGCTCCTTGTAACCTTTTCTTTAGTAGACTACACGGTAGGCAGCCACGTCTCTGGCATCAAACCTTACTGACCCCCAGGAACAGAGGTGCCAATATGTTACAGAATGCCCTCTTTTCTGGTGCTCTTGCCATGGGGTTCAACTTCCCAAATTTCACAACTGGACCCATTCAATTCACCAAAGGCAGTCCAAGTGCAAGTAAACACAAAACAGAGCTCTGAGAATGAGCTTCATCATTTTTAAAAACATATTAAGCCCTAAAGAACCAATTCAGATATTTCCATTTTAACTACAGCTAAATCAAGGACCACTAGCCAGGTCTACAAGCAGCTGGTGGCCTCTGGGTACCTGGGGTTGGGGATAATTTAGCTACGGGCAAACCTCTAGCCCAGCTGCAGACAAACAAAGGGCATTTAAGAATGTTGAGTTGTGTCTGACTCTTCATGACCCCATTTGGGGTTTTCTCAGCAAAGATACTGAAGCGGTTTGCTATTTTCTTCTCCTGCTCATTTTACTGAGGAAATGGAGGCAAACAGGGTTAAGCTCAGGGTCACACTGCTAGTAAGTATCCTGACTTCAGGCCCCACAGTATCCACTGAGCCATCTGTTTGCCTGCATTTAAGAACAGATTATGATTGTGATGGAAATGAAAGGTCTTCATAGTCCTTTCAATGGTTCCAGGTGTCATTCCTACTCCCCAGGAATAACGCCCCTTATTTTGTGTTACAATTCTCAGAAAGGTTTCCCTGGGAAAATAGGGGAGACATATAACTTATTCCAGTTAAGATGGCATTCCATTTTGAGATGGCAAGAGAAGTGTGACTCTGTAAAGCTGTAGGTAAAAGTTTTAAAGTATCTAAAGCAATTAAGAGAAAGCCTAGTTACCCAGGGACCAACTGACTTTACACGGAGACAAAAAAACAAGGACTGATTTCTTTGGAATGATTCTCTCTTATTCCTCTCTTAAAAAGGATTTATTTAGCGATGTTGCTCCTAAGTTTTTCTTTTCATTTCTTATAACACATTTATATATTTATATTCTACATAACTTATATTTCTTATAACTTATAAACACTGTGGGACAAAGGGATGGGGATGAGGAGTAAGACATGTAGTCTGTTGTTTGGAAAGTAATCTAGCAAAAAAGAGTTTCAGTTACAAAATCCTTTCTAATACTAATAAATGAATATATGTGTGCTAAGTGAGTAAGTAGCCCTTATATAGTGCTTGAGCCTCACAACAACCTTATGAGCATTATTATCCTCATTTTACTGAAAGGTGAAGTGACCAGGCCAACATGCTATCCACTCCACCGGGCTGCCTCATGTAGGAGCCAAACTTCCTACGCACTGATAAGTTAGTTCCTGAAAAGTAGCCGGTGTGCATGCCAAAGAGGCCAGAAATTTAACCAGCGAGGACAAGTCACAAATAGAAGGAATGTCTTACCTCATAGACTCGGAGACCTGTGGGGTTATCAGCACAGTTAGCCTTCTTGTCGTTCTGTGTTGTTTCAGTGAGGAGCCAAGAACCAAGGCTCCTCTAGCGTAGGAGTCATTTGTTGACAAAGTCACAAAAGACTGATCTTAATGGAAAAAGAGAGGTGACACTGATTACAGTATCCCAGAATCAGGAGATAAAAAAAAGTAAGACAGAACAATCTGTTCCCTTTGGTGGTAGTGGGAGGTTACTGCTTATTGCTTCTCCTAGCCCTTTGGCCAAGGGAGAAGGTCCAGGGAAGACCCCTGTTGCCAACGTCAAATTATTTTCTTTTCATGTCCTTTAGCAAAAGCAGCAAATCTGAGATCACATTTGTTTCTGGACAAAGAGACCATAAGCAGTTAGCAGAGTAGCCTGGGTCACACTTAGTAGGGTGACTAAACAAGGAAAAGATCAATATTAAACTTAAGGTTTAGCTGCTATTCTTATCATAGCCATTTAGTAAAACGCTCCTGTTTTATTGATGAGGAAACTGAAGCCCAGGGACATTTAATGCCTTGTTCGAAGTCACACAGAGTGAAAATTTAGGATTTGAACCCAGGTCTTTTAATGCCCAATCTGCACCCCATTAGAAAGCCTCAGGAAAAATACTACTGGCTTAATACCCAGGGGAATGCCAACATCTGCAAATTAATTAAAAGTAATGAAGTGATCACATAGTAAGTGTGTTTAGTTTCCCTAACAAGGTGGCTTCAAATAGATGAAGAGCCAAGGTTAAATACAACTGCCAACAGGAATCTAGATGATCTGAGAATAAATAGTACTTGAGCCTTTAATCTGATTTGTAGCTTTTAGTTTAAATGCACGGGCATGTAGTCAACTATATGCTGAAAATCAGAGTTTGTAGAGACAGAATGAACTGTGTATGGGAAAAAATGCTCTGCAGTGGGAGTCAGAAGACTCAGGTTCAAATTTTGACTGCTAACTCTTTTTGAGATACTAAAGCTAGTCACTTAACCTCTCTGCGTCTCACTTGCCTCATCTATAAAATGGGAGGAGTGCCCATAGATTTAGCCCTGGAAGAGATCTAAGGGGCCATCTCATCTACCCCTTTCATTTTTCAGATGAGGAAACTGAGGCTCAGAGAGATTAAATATCTCATCTAGGGTCAAAGAGCTCCAGCCAGTGTCTGAGGCAGATTTCGAGCTCAGGTTTTCTTGCTTGGTCACATTGTGCTGCCCTTCCCTAGGCTGCTAAGGGCCCTCTTCCAAGTCTAAATATTGGGTCCTATAACATAACCTAAATTGATTTTGTTTGGCCAGTTCTCAAAACATTCAAACTATTCTCCCTCAAAAAATGACCCTGAGGCGCAAATCCCACTCCTTGATTTTTCTTTATAGAAACATGCAGTCTCACACACAATTCCTAGTAAGTTTGGAAAGATTGCAGGTAGCTGCTGTCTCTTTGGTTGTTAAAATGGGAGCCAGGACAAGGTGTAGCAGTGAAAGCCTATAGACCATACAGATTCTCACTGGTGACTGAGTTCAACTAGGCCCTGGGTCTCTTGGGAGTATGTCACCTTTCTGAAGTTAAATGGCAGTCCCTTTCAGAGAACTGCAGAAAGCTAGTTAATAAGCTTAACTAATAAGAAGTATTTAAAATACAGAGCATACTTAAGTATCCTAGCATTGACTGACAGTAGACACTGTCTCCCTAGCAGTGAACTAGGTCTTTTTTGGGTCAGGAAGTCCTCCTCAGTTTCCTCATATCCCTTTAACCAGTTTTCAACCAGGAGGGTTGATAATTGTGAAACTATGGAAAGGAGAGGAAGGAAGATGGTTAAGGTAACAGATTGTTGGACCAACGGGAGAGCTGGGAGGAAGAGAAGAAGAATGTCATGTCCCTGAGTATATTATCAAGGAAGGGGAAGGGGTCTAATGGAAAGTCTGTTGAATTAGAAGTCAGGAGGAAGGTTCAGATCATAGTTCCAATACTTGCTACTGGTGTGGCCTTGGCCAAATCACTTAACTCTCCCGGCTTCATTTTCCTTGCCTGTAAAATGAAAGGCTGGAATTAGATGGTCTTTCTATCTATTACTCAACTATCTTTATCTCACTTACAGCCAGAAAATGATAAGTGCCAGGCCCTTTCTCATTGTTCGGTCTTGTTTTCCTTCCTCTGCCCCATGAGAGGTAGAGTGGAGTAGTAGTTAGACAGCTGACCTCAAAGTCAAACAGGATTCAAAGTCCTGCCTCAGCCACATCCAGGCTGTATGCTTCTGGGCCAGTCACTGCCAGTGCCTCTAGGCAGCTCTCAAAGACTGTACATTGGTGGGGGTGGCATTAAGGATCTGTATTGGTAGAGGGTCCTTTTACCAGTGAAATCACAGTTCTAATTTTAAAAATCCGTGAGTTATACATGGTTGTCCTCCTCCTACTCCCCAGTCCTCCTGGAATTGCCAATCTTTGGTCTCAAAGGACACGGAAGTATCTTTGAGAACAGTCTGGTCTCATTCAGTTGCAAGATCTACAAAATGAAGAGGTTACATAACACAGCCTCTTAGGTCCCTTTTCAGCTGGAAATGTTATGAGCCTATGGGTGGTCCCAGATTCAGAGTGAGCCCCAGAATTTAGGGGACTGGCTGGCCTCTTAACAGGAGCCCCATTCTAGTCTCTATTGTTAAATAACCCTCCAAAATGTCCAGCAGTTAAACACTGTGTAATTCCTAGGAGAGGTGTAACACTGGGATGAAAGACTTGCTCATCTGCTCTGTCCAACCATTCAAAAGAATGATACAGGAAAATCACCAAGATAAATGTGATTCAAAGGTCAGAGAAAGGATAACCAGGAAGAGTGAGGACAAATGACCTAGAGCTTATAGAGATTTCTGGCAGAAAGTGTAATGGGAAAGGTAGGAGGTGATTGATCATAGGATGTGGAGCTAGAAGGGCTTTAAAGATCATGGAGTTCAGTGCTTCCATTTTGCAGAGGCCTAGGCAAATCCAGTGACTTGTGTACGGTTACACAGGCAAATAGCAGAGCCAGGATTCAAAATGAAGACTCCAGACTCTCATTCTATGCAGGATGGGCTCTGGAGAGTGAATGTAATTGCTGTGGGTCAGAGGTTCTTGACCTTTCTGTGTATCACCGACCCCTCCACAGTCCAGTGAAGCTTATGGACCCTTCTCGGAGTAATGTTTTTAAATGGATAAAATGCACAGGATTACAACTATAGGCTTATAACTAGAAAATCAACGATATGAAACACTTATTAAAATACATTTTTAAAACCAGTTAATGGACCACTGGCGAAGAACCTCTGCGGCGTGGGCGGGGGTCCCTGCCTTCCGGGAAAGCAGCCATACAGTCACATTTATTAGAGCTCCTGGTCGGGGGCAGAACTGGGTCGTAGGTCCTATCTGCTACATTTCCCCATTCACCCAGCCTGTCCTTGAACGCCCGCCTCAGAGCAGACGCAGCATCTTGCCGGGCCCTATTTGCAACAAGTGGGCTTCCGAAAAGCAGGAGCGTCTGGAGTGACTCAGGTCAGCGGGAGTCCCAGGTCCCTAGGACCTGCTCCCGGAGGGCAGACAGGCTGCCAGGCACCTCGTGCCCGCGCGGGCTGCCCCGGCTTCCCGCAGCCCTGCAGGGCCGGCCTAAAAATAGGCGCGGGCAATCAATGCCTAGCCGGCCCGGGTACAGCCGCACCCGGGGCCTCCTCCCAGTGGAGCAACTAGTTACGTTCCTTCCCGCGGGCCCTGGTGGGCAGAGGGGAGAGGCTTCGGGGGATTCCGCAGTGTCCGGGTCGCGGGCAGGAGGAAGGGATGTCGGGGGTGGGGGGCGAGGTTCTTCCCCACCCCCACCCACCCCAGCAGCAGCTGCGGCAGCTGTCAGTCCTTTAAACGGGAAGGGGGGGGCGGACGCACCGGAGAAAGCGGCCACAAAGGGGTGATCCCGCGGAGGAGGGAGGGAGGCCACCCCCCGGCTGGGGGTGGGGAACGAGATCTCCAAGGTGCGCTGACACCTGGCTAGGAACACGGCAAAACCAGCCTGGGGAGCCTCCACCTCCTCGGGCCTTCCCGAGGAGGGAGGGTGACAAACGAAGCAGAACAGCCTGGGGTGGGGGTCCCCACAGACCCCAAGTTTCTCCGCCAACACCCCCTCCAACCAACGTACCCCCTTTGGCGCTATCGCGCTCCCCGCAAGCCCACCAAGAGTCACGGCCCCGGACAGCGAAAAAGAAAACGAAAGGCCGGGAAGGAGAGTAGAGACAGAAGGAAGAAGGAAGGAAGGAAGGACAGAAAGAGCAGGGGGAGAGACCAAGTAGCTTCCCAGCACCGCCAAGCGCCCGGGGCGCACGGGGAGACCCAGTGCTAGACCCAGTGGGCCCCAGGACCTTCCCCGAGCTCCGCCCGGGCTGGCCACCGACGTACCTGTCATGGTGCCGGCGGAGTCGAGGTGGCTGGGGAGGCAGTGACTCGGTGTCTCTTGAGCGCAGGGAGCCCAGGCGCCGGGGCGAGGGGGCACCCGAGAGAAGCAGCTGGAAGAGAGCGGACCCGGCAGCTAGGTCTTATACGACACGGTCACGTGGAGCACGTACGCTGGCTTGCAGCATTGCATCCTTCCTGCCCGTGGGTCGCCTGTTGGGCTGCTCCAGCTGACCGCAGCGGCCAGCTCTGCTGAGGCTTGGCCACAATGTCTCCCTGAATCTCCTCTGCGCAGCGCGGGTCAAATGACCCCGTGCGTGCAGTCCCCCGGGCTAGGTGAGGACTGCTCCTTGCCCGCTGTCAACAAGCGTCTTGCCAATCACCCAACCCCTCCCCCACTTTCCAGGTGGGGAAACCGGGCGTCTTGAACTTGTGCAAGTCTGCCTTTGGGTCAGGAAGGGGGAGGGTAGGCAGAGCACTGGCTCCTTCCTTTCAGCTCAACTGCAGCTGCTTCCCTTTCACTGCTAGGATTATGGAGTACTGCTTGGGCCAGGGGGTCAGGATATACCAGCTGAATTTTGGAACACAATCCCGGAGGATTCCCATTTTGCAGGGAATCCCTCCTTCCCATCACCTCCACATTCCTAATGACCTTTAGGTCTCTTGAGGCTTCCACAGGGTAAGACAAAGGGCTCATAAGATCACAAATTTGGAGCTGGAAAGGGTTGTAGAGACCATTTAGTCCAACTCATTCATGGAGGTGGGGGGGGGACGGAGGGAGCAATGTTTGGAAAAAAAAAGTTTTACTGTTACTTATATGATATTTATACCATGTGCTCCAATCCTCTTGTAACAAAGAAAAACATTTAGGTTGAACCCAATTGACAGAGTAACCGCTGCAAACTGTTTACAGAAGTATGGTTCTGTGTCGTTTCTCCAAGACTGAGATGGTTCATTGTAATTCTTTAGATATCAATTGCCTTGGTAGTCCAACCCACTCACTGTACAGATAAAGAACCCCGTTCACAAAAGGAGTAAGAGGCAGCGGGGAACTTGAACCCATCCTCTTAGGACAAATCGAACGTCTCCCCACTATACCGCAATGATTTCCTTGGTCAGAGAGAGTTTTGTTTCATTTTGTTTTAGCCTAACCATTGAGCCACATGTCACAGAGAAGGATTTTTGTTTGATCCAGAGTGGGGGCTCTAAACCTGAGTCTATGAACTTGCATTTTTGGGTCTGATAATCTATATTTCAATATAATTGATTTCCTTTCTAATGCTATGTATTTGATTTTATGCATTTAAACACATCATCTGATAAGGGATCCATTGGTTTCACCATATTGCCAAAAAAGGTAAACCTAGAGATAAAAAAAGATAAACCTAGATTAATAGGGAGCCAGTGAAGTTTACTGAGCATGACAGTGTTGCGGCCAGACCTGTGTTTTAGGAATATCACTTTGACAGCTGAATGTGACATAGATTAACACTGCCCAAGGGTAGAATGAAGTGATTCAGAAGGTTTTGGTTTCCCCTGAAGGGATGTTTTCTAGCAGAGACTGGACTACTTGTAGAATATGTTAAAATTGGGATTCCTTTTGGACATGAATTGTGTGATAGGTGGACACGGGCCTTTCAGTTCTAAAACTCTATGATTCTGTAATGTTAAGGTCTGGCTTTTGACAAAGCTAATGTAATATTGTTTAAATAAAGTTTTGTTGATGTTTGCTTTTTATTCACTTTTATTTTCCATTGTATCCAGAGTCATCCTTTATAACAAAGAATAAAAAGAGGGGGAAAGGTTCAGCAAAATTAACACATAAAAAAAAAGCTGATATCCCACACTCACCATTTCTGTAGGCTAATGCAATCACATTATGGAAGCATGTTAGTATAGTATCCAGGTCAAGGAAAATGATATTTACTTCTCATTATAGTTTGTAACATATGGAAAATTGTAGTCCCATATCTTAAGAGGGACATTGACAAATTGAAGAATGTGTTCAAGAAGGATGTTGAAGGGTCTGGAAATCCCATCCTATAATGAACATTTGGATGGGGTGAAGATTGAGTGGGAAGACCTCATAGATATGGTCAGATATCGGAAGGGCTGGCATGCAAGACAGGAAGAAAGCTTATTCTTGCATAACTTCTCAGGACAGAACTGCCAATGGTGAGTAGACATTATGGGGAGACAGATTTTGGCTTGATATGAAAGAAGAATGTTTCCACAATTAGAGCAACATGATCCAAAACTATAATGAGCTGTTTTGAATGCAGCCAGCAGTAAAATTAGTCAAGCCAGGGATCCATGACCATTCTCCGGGGTGCTCTGGAAGGGATTTTTATGTGATGGTTGGGAGGCTGGATCATGTAATCATTAGTAATCCTTCCTCTCCCTTAAGACTTAGCTTAAATCACCTTCTACATGAAGCCTTTGCTGATTTCCCAGCTGCCCCATCTCCCTGAACCTGCCCCATCACTTAGTTTCTATTTTATATTTCTTTCATACGTGTCGATTTCATCTGTTTCCATATATATGTGTGCTATTTCTCCATAGAATGTAAGCTCCTTAAAAAGGACTGGTAGCACAGTTGCACTTAGTAGGTACTTAATAAGTGTTGACTAATTGCTTGGTCATGGGATGGTAGATTTAAAGATGAAAGGAGCCTTCCATCTCATATAACCCAACCCCATCATTTTGCAGATGAAGAAATTGCTTCTCAGAGAGGTAAAATAACCAGAGCAGAAAGAGCTCCAGCTCTGGGTCAAAAAACTTGGGTTCTAATCCTAGTTCTACTTGCCACTGGTGTGACCTTGGACAAGTCACTCTTTGAGCCTCAGTTTCCTCATCTGTAAAATTAAGGAGCTTCTGAGTCCTTTCTAGACTCAGACCCTTTTACTCATCTAACAGAAAGTAGGTGGAAATATTGAGTTCAAGCTAGAAAAAGTGGAAGATGGAACCCTGTCTGTGCTTAGGCAGGGAAAGGGGGATTCCTGGGGTAAGTTCCAGATGCTTGAAGAAACTGGTGACAAGAGACAAAAGCGTTTTCCCTCCATATACCCAGCAACAGTCATCAACAGCCCTAGCCAGGTGATCACAGACTTATGATCTGAAAGACCACTTTCTTCCCTCCTCCAATAACTACCTCGATGGTACTTCAATTTCCTTTAGAAAGGACAAGGATTTTCCTTCGGTAATTAAGAGTTCAGCACCGAAACTCATTTGCTTAATTATAACCCGTTGACCTCCTACATTGGCTGGTTTACTCTTTTTTTTTTGTGAGGGAATTGGGGTTAAGTGACTTGCCCAGAGTCACACAGCTATTGAGTGTTATGTGTCTGAGTCGAATTTAAACTCAGGTCCTCCTGACTCCAGGGCCAGTGCTCTATCCACTTAGTCACCTAGCTGCCCCTGGTTTACTCTTTAGGCAACTGTTCCCAGAGGTTCACAATATTGATGGCTAAACTTAATGTGGATACTTGCTTGGTGTGAAGCATAAAATGTTTGAGAGATGGAGTTTCTGCGTAATTAATCATTTTATTAATCATGCTAGCAATAATTAATAAAAAGGGGTCAGTGACACTCCTGAATGCCAAAGACCGCTCTTGGAATCCACTCAACACTTGTGCCCTTGGAAGAGTGGGTGTTCTTCAGGGTGGAATTAATGTATGGATTAACAGTTAATAAGAAAAATGAATATTATAATGAGAGGTGGGCTTATTCTAATGAGGGTCTGGGGAACGTGACTCTGGTCACTCAGTCTTCCATATCACCTTATGTAGGGTAATCTAAACAAAAGAGAGAATCCAGTTTTCTCCACACCTGTCAGAGTAAAACACAATGGGCCAGAATCCATCAATTCACCTAATCTAAAATTTCATTACCTTTTGAATACATCTGAGTTTTCCCTCTTGTTATTAGCCCTGCACTTCAAAAGCTGGCTGAATAACCTACAGGGGCTGATTTCTGAATGAGGAAGCAGGAAAGGGAAAAAACCTTAGTCCTAATTCAATAATTAGTTATTAATATAAGAGAGAAATAATTATTTATTTCATTGGCACAGTCCACTGTAGCACAGAGCTCTTGAGCACCAGAAATCCTCCACCCATCAGTGTTATAGGCACCTGCCATTACACATTTATCATAATGGGTAGAGAGCTGGCTGTGGAGTCAGGGAAACTGGGGTTCAAGTGATTGACCCATATTGGTATGTGACCCTCCGCAAGTCATTTAACCTGTCAGTGCTCTAGACAACTCTCTAAGATTATAAGTTGCAGAAAAAGTGCCAACTTCCATCGGTAGATGGAGTTTTTTCACTAGAGAGTTCTCTTATAGCATAAAGTAATACCTATACCATGAAATAAAATAGCTAACATTTATGTAACACTGTAAGTTTGCAAAATTATAATATTCATTTTATCTGATCCTCAGAACAATCCTATAAATTAGGTGTTTTTATGATAATCATTTTAAAAAGGAGAAAACTGAGGCTGAAAGAGGTTAAGTCACTTGCCTATGGTCACACAGCTAGTAAGAGTTTGAGGCAAGATTTGAACTCAGGTCATTCTGACTCTCTGTCCATTTGTCTTGCCTCAATTACAGGTCTAGTCTCTATCCTATACTGATTATCAGACAACTCAGTAAACATTTATGAGGCGCCTGCTGTGTGCCAGGCAGTGCGCTAATATCAAAAGTGTTAGTGACTGATCTCAGAGCCTCTCCTGTTTTGATAGGTGGAGGGAGCTATCAGAGACAGAAGAGGGGTTAGCTGAAGACAAAAGGGCTGGAGAAATGGGAAGTTAGGGGCCTAAAAGATAAACTTGAAGGAACATTCCAGATGACTGGCACAGAAAAGGAGGCAATATCCTAAAGCTTCTAATCCTAGGAAGGGGTGGGAAAGCAACAAGACCTCCCTTGGTGTTGGAAAGACCTTAATTCAAATACCACCTTTACATACTTACTTGTTGTGTGACACTGGGCAAATCACTTAACTTCTCTGTGATTTAGATTTCTCATCTGTAAAATTAGGGAGATAGACTTGATGGCCTTCCATCTAGATCTCCCAGCTATGATCTTCTGCAATGACTTGAAGGGGTTTTTGTTTTAGCATGGTAATTTATCCAGTTCTCTTGACCGATGCTGTGGAATAAATAGACTCTGGGCTCATTCTCCCAGCCCCCACTAGCATGGGTGCATCCTAGAGGTTGACTACTGCTTTTTCCCTCAGGGTTATATGGGTAACCTGAGGGAATGAGATACCATCTAATACTTTTGAGCTCTTCCTGTGCATTCTACCCAATATTCTTCACCGGTGCCAGTTATTGTCCCACCAAGATCAATTTGACCATTTGCTTTCTTAACATTAACT